TTAGCCGAAAAGGTTCCTTTTGGATCTTGCTCATCTTGGCCTTTCATCTTTATTTTTGGCTTGCAGGAAAAAAACATCTTCCAGCACAGTTAGTAATGCAAATTATTCAACTTTCATTAATGTGTAGTTCATAATCTTTCTGCCTTTGCAGCTTCTCCTGATAGTAGAAATAAATTAAAGCTTCTGGAATGTAGTTTTATTCTTTCTCTATCTATATGAGTCGAGGAAAAGTGATTTGTTTTCTCTTTTTCTCAGCAAAAGAGGAAAGTCTGTTCAGTGAAGCAAAAGTTGTTAGAGTTGAAATTAACTGGAGGAAATACAGCCCATAATTAAGCCAGGCTACTCACGGCCGCAGATGCAATATGAATAGTATTCCAAGTGTATGAGCGTGAAAGGAAAATAGGGGTATTTCACAGAATCATAGAATGGTATGGGTTAGAAGGGACCTTAAAGATAATTCAGTTCCAACCCCCTGCCCTGGGCAGGGACACCTCCCACCAGACCAGGTTGCTCAAAGCCCCATCCAGCCTGGCCTTGGACACCTCCAGGGATGGGGCAGCCACAGCTTCTCTGGGCAACCTGTTCCAGTGTCTCACCACCCTCACAGGAAAGAATTTCTTCCTGAAATCTAATCTAAATCTCCACTCTTTCAATTTAAAACTATTTCCCCTCGTCCTATTGCCCCACTCCCTCATAAAGAGGTGGGCTCTCACTTGCATCACTAGGGCAGGAAAAATACATACTCTTAAAAAAACAGCTGATACATTGTTACAGTGTAAACACACAGCTGCAAAGAGAGAGAGAGAAAAAAAAGCAGCATTTTAACTAGGCAGATAAATGGGCTCTTATTAGAAAATTAAGTGGTGCTCCTACAAAATACAGTTATTTCTCAGTAATGGGGACATTCCTCAATAAAGTGGACTGTGGTGTAAAGCAAGCAATTTAGGGCCATACACTTATTTATCTGATTCAACAGCATTTGCTGAATGTCAGCGTTTTTGCTAGCAGCCTTTTCTGCAGCCATCAGAGTGGTAACAAATCCTGCTTCCCCAGCTACAAACAAGGTACAGACTGGGGCAGCGGGGAGGAGAGTGCTGAGGGGACAGAAAAAGCTGTATTTAAACAGTTGTGTTTGCTTTTCTGTGGAAAAAAGAGGAGGGAAAAAAAAAGAGAGATCTGGGAGATCTCTTATTCTGCCAGAACACTGATACTTTGCAAGTGCTGCCAACACAAACCCTGCGAGCCCAGCCAGCTGACATCAGCTGACCAAGGACATGGTGGGACTTCGGACGTTTTATCCATTCTGCATCCAAACAGGCAGGCTTTTGTCTGGGCCGTTTGACCAAATCTACACCATGAGTAAAAACAGAAGCAGGACTGAAAAAGAAGGCCGGCTGAAGTCGACGCAATCTAAGATGCACAGCACCAGAAGATACATGAACTGAGCTGAAGATAGGACCAGATTTGCAATCTCTATCTCCAATAAAATGGTGTGTTTTTACTGTACTGGATAAACTGTGGGTAAATGTGTCAAGGAACATTATCCCCATTGCTGCCTGGGGCTTCACCACCAGCATCTGTGAGAGGAACCCAACAGGACAGTGATCTCTGTCAGGAAGTTGAGCAATATGACAAGGGGGAACGGTTTTAAACTTAAAGAGGGGAGATTTAGATTAGATATTGGGAAGAAATTCTTTCCTGTGAGCGTGGTGAGACAGTGGAACAGGTTGCCCAGAGAAGCTGTGGCTGCCCCATCCCTGGAGGGGTTCAAGGCCAGGCTGGATGGGGCTTGGAGCAACCTGGTCTGGTGGGAGGTGTCCCTGCCCATGGGCATGTCTGTGGTTTTTTGTTAGCTGTGTAAAACTTAAGACTGAAGAAAAGAGTAAGAAACAGAACTTCCACTTGCACCCTTGTTTAACTTGACTAGTTTATACCTGCGTCTTAACCACTATTATTTTTATTTTCATATTCCTAGATTCAAAAGACCCAGACCAAAATCAACGTACAGACACACTCCCACCTCTATATCATAAGCCTGTTCCACAAAGCAGGGTGCTCCTTGGAGCACACAAAAATTGTTGCCTTTTGTATCACTCAAGCAAAGGCGGTTTTAATATGGGCCCAACTGTAATACACAGTAAGTATGTCCATGGAAATTCAAATTTGAAAATTTAAACATTTGTACCCTCACTGACATACTGGAAATGTGTTTGAAACATTCTTGTTTCCCAGTATGATAGCTACATAATTAGGCTAAGCCTTTCACACTTTCTCTTTTAAGCCATTGGATTTATTTACCAAAAATCATTGCATAGATATGCCCAGCAAATGCCTTAGAGAACTGTTTGTTAAGGTGTTTTAAAAGAAAAGCTTAAATATAGAGATTCTCTCTTCACGAAGTGCTCGCTTTTATCAAAATTGCAAGTTGCTTGCACTTCATCCCTTGCAGCCTCTTTAAATCCTCTGTTTGACATTTTGAAAGTGCCATGCAGGTTCTAATACACATTACACAAGAAGAGCTATTATAAAATTCCTGAGTTTTTCTTGTTTGCATGACAAAGGGGGAATGGCAAATCCTCCAATTGGACCAGATAATCACTCTCCTGTGAAAAGCCTACAATCCACATCCTCTGTTTTCCTCTTAACTGAGCTTCAACTGTGTTTGGTCAATAATTTTATTTTATGTGTGAAGCCAATAAATCATCTTCCAATACACATTGGACAAGCCGAGAGTCCTGGTAGATAAGACATCAGCCATGGGAGAAGTCACGTCCAGGACAGTTGGGTGCTGCTGGAGCAGTTGGGCATTTTCATTTCATGTAATCATGTTTTGTTTTTTTGAAAAGCCTTCACTATGTGGTAGGACCACTCTCCAGAGCAAAGACCAATTGGGTGGATAAAGGTTTACAGGATCAGGTCTTCTGGCATATTCAAAAAGAGACCATTACAAATGCCTGAACTGCAGGTTTATCCGGGTGATTCTCACTATATAAACTTAACAGATTCACTGCTGGAACTGAGTCAGCCAACACTTACAGAGCACATCTGAAGGAAACTTTGTCCTCAGCCACCCAAGAATTGCTTGGATGCAGTTTGCCACTGAAGCCTCCAAAGTGGTTTCACCCTGTGGCTGCGTTTGTCCCATCCCAGGAGGAACCAGTAACGTGCCGTTTAGCTGGAGCCAGGAGGGGGCTACTGGGCTACCTCCCCAGCCAGGTCAGACAGAGCTTCCCTAAGGGGCTGAGAGAGTCACTGGGATTTCAGAAAAAAAATCCTTTCCTCCTCTTATTCACAAGAGCGGAGCTTTTTACATGAGTTAAAGGTGAGGTGGTCAAATTAAGTGGGTATTTTTCACTCATATTTGTGTCTTGGGAAGGAATATAACAGAAAATATTGATTTGTTCAGAGAAAGATGCTACATCAAGAGAAAGAGTAAAGAATATGCTGGTCTGGGCCATGCACAAACTGTTATAGTCCTGGTTTCCACTTTAGCCTTATAAGGTGCCCCTAATCTAATGGAGACTTCATCGTATTTAAGGAAACAATTTTCTTGAAAGGTTATAAAGACAAAATGAGCAGTAGCAGAAGTGTTTAGTCAGGCTCTTTCAGACAGCTTTGTTGCTTTCCTCTGTGTACGGAACAGGCTGCCTCTGCTGACACCAGTTTTAATGAGGGACAAACCACCACAGAGTGCTTTTGGACAAAGTTAGTTTCATCGGGTCCTCCAGCCAGGCTTTTCTCAGGGCACATGGTTCAGCTTGGACACTGGATGAAACCGGGTTGATTTTGACTCATTCACAGAAACATAAAATCCCAAGGCCTTTTGATGCTGGAGACATTTGTACGTACGCTCAGGTCCTTCTCTACTCGTTCCTGCTGGCGAGGATGAGAATCTGCCCCAGGCAGGGGCCAGGCTCCTTCACGCTTTTATCGATCACATTTTATTTTTTTCAAGTCACTTCTCCTGGGATTGGTTTTAAAAATAAGACTTCCACCTCTTATGCCAGCAAAGGCCAGGGAAGCAAAGGATGTGAGCTTCAAGTTTAAAGGTTGAATTTGAGGCAAACAAGCAGCTCCCCCACCTCAGCCTCCAGGTCTGCTTTGCTCCCCAGGGACAGCTCTCTGTTGCGGTTGTTAATAGCCTTCAAAATACCAATATTCTTCATCCACGTTGTGGAAAAGCAGAGTGGTTTCTCGTGTTCCTGAAAGGCGATCTGCCTTTATATAAAGCCTTCTTCTTTTAAGCGCAAGTGTTATTAAACCCGCAGGAACCCATAAAGAGTGATGGGACATTTTTCTAAAATGTCAGGCCTGTACATCTTCCACCTTCTGCCATTCAGAAGCAGCGTAAAAGGCCATAAACCATTCAGCTGCTGTGATTCACTGCCCTGATTCATACACCTGATACAAATATTCAGAGATCAAAGCAGTGCCTACTCCCCCCGCACTCCCCCCAAAAAAAGATTTTAAATGATTTTTTAATGCCTGCCATCAAGATGGACTTAGAGCTCAAGCATTATTCTCCTGATTGATATTGGCTATTTTAGGTAGCAGGTCTCCTGCGGTAAAGATTGACGCTTCCTGTAAGAATTGTACGGTGTGGTGCATAAAGCAATGCACTCTGCAGATGCCTTTCCCCCCTGACCGAGGCTGAACATCAGAACACTGGTCACTCAGAGGTTTTCTGGGCAAAAGTTTACAGGGAATTAAAAAAAGGATGGAAACTTCTTCCCCCCATGTGAAGGAATCTGGAAGCTCCCCTAAACCTTCTGATATTAACTTTGCGGTAGATGAAGGTGTTAAACTGGCATGTGTCTCCCGACCAGGGAGTGGTGATCCTTTTAAGTCCTCTGCTTCGTCCCCACTTGTGGAATTTGTTGTGCCAGTGGGACAAGGCTGGCTATAAAACCCCGTCCTGCTCAGGCAGCCCGAGAGCAGCCCCTGGGGAGATCCCCCCTTCCTCTCTGCCGGGCAGGCGGCTGCTTCCCCAGTGCAGGAGGATGGAGGCCAGAGTCGCTCGGATGCTCTGCCTGCTCTGCCTGATTGTCACCGTCCCAGCCTTTAGCCAGGAAGGGTTCAAGGAGGTGTTGCTGAAGCAGCTGGGGCTCTCAGAGGTCCCAAAACTTCACAAGAGAGACTTGGAGAATCTGGTGATCCCGGACCACATCAGGAATAAATACATCTCCATGCTGAAGCACCAGAGGGTGAAGCGCCGAGCTTTGCCCAGCCTGGCTGGCATCCTCAGGGGCATCCCTGGCCACGCTGCAGGTAATGTTTTGTTTCTACCCTCATCATCAGGGAACTGGCAGAGCACTGTGCTGCTGCCAGGGGAAGCTGCCTGCCCTCACCCGTGGTGGGGCAGAGGCAAACCCACGGGGGGAGCAAGGCTCCAAACCCGAGCTGAGCAGGAAAGGTGCCTGTAACAGCATCTTAAAGATTAACACCTGCTGGTAACTCCTTGCGCCCAGAAAGGGGGTTCCTACAGCCCTCCTGAAGGGCAGGCAGCTGGAGCTTTTGATAGAAAAGCCTCGGCACCCAGGCAACTTTTTGGGCAGGTGGAAAAACGATGTGAAAAATAAACATCAGTAGAAAGTGTAGACATTGCGGTGTTTCGGTTAAAACTCCAGAAAGTCCTCTAATAGAAATCATCATGGAATGGTTGAGGTTAGAAGGGACCTTAAAGATCATCAAGTTCCAACCCCCAATCACATCTCTGAGGATGTTTCACTCTCCCCTGTCTTTTTCTTTCTTTTTTTTTTTCTTTCCTTTTTTTTCTTTTTTTCCTGGGAAAAAATAATCAAAGAGGAAATCAGCTGTACGGACTCAATGATGTCTGTACAAGGACACTCAGAGCTTGTTTAGCTTTTAAAAGATGTGACACCTGGGGCAGCAAATGTAAAAACACTTTTTCATTGCAAGTGGTGCAGTTTCCTGCTCCAGTGGCCAGCACCCAGCACTGGCAGAGAGAGATGGGCACCTCTCTGTGTTTGCTCAATTTGGGGGCAACTTATATAGGAGATTTCAGTTCTGTTGCCTCCAGGTTGCAGAGACTCAGGCATAGGAGAATAATTAGGACATTTGCAAGACATTGATTCAAGTATGCATTATAAAAGGTGTGTTTAGTGTCTGCCACAGGGGCTGGAGTGTGGAAGGAGCGTGTTGTGATGATAATTGTGGACCAATTGTGGGGGCTTTGCAATGGACAGCAACGACAGGCTGCCTTTTTTCTTCCCAACATGGCAGGAGGAGTCCTCTCCTCTGACACCACCACGCGCCAGAACCTGATCTTTGACATGGAGGGCAGAATACCCCAAAACAGCGAAGTTACGATGGCTGAGCTGAAACTCTTCAAAAAGCCTCTGGAGCGGGCAAACCTGCCTGCCAAGCAGTCCCTCAGGCCTGTCTCCAATGCCAGAGTCAGCGTCTACTGGGTGCAACGGCAGCACGATGGTACCAACAGGACCTCCCTGATAGACTCCAGGTAAGAAAAGGAACCTCTCCTGAAGGCAGGACTCTGGGGTCCTTTGGGCTGGGTTTCAGGTTGGGTCCTGTGTTTGTGCCTCTGGTCAGTCTGATGGGGTTACATCTGTAAAATCGGGCTCTACAGCCTCTAAACCCAGAATGAGTTTGTTAGAGCAGATATTAGGTTAAGACTGCAATATACGATGATTTATTGAAATAATCTCTTTTTATGTCAGACTGTGCTGTGTACTGCCAGGTCTTCCCTTCTAAAAACCTCTACCTAGTTCACTTCTCTCTCACTAACCCACATGGGTTACTGGCTTCCGGTATTCTTTCCATTGGCCATTTTATTAGCTAGTTTAAAGAAGTAAATTATGCAAAAAACCAGCCTATTTCGTAGCCTGGAGCTACGTGGAAGTTTTACAGCCCTTGAAGGCAGAATTAGACATCAAACCAATTTTCTGGGTGGGTAGAAACATGTGGCCCTCATACAGGAGTAGGAGGGAGTCGTGGTGTTCACCAGACTGTCATCACTAGTACCGGCGCTGCATATAATCCCACACCTCCATCTTTCTGTGTGAGCGTGGATGAGTACCTTGACATGAGCGTGCACAAAGGGTTTTGTTTGGCCCATCAGTGCCTGCTGGATCACAGAATCACCGAATCTTAGTGGTTGGAAGGGACCTCTGAGATCATCGAGTCCAACCACAAAAAAAACCCAAAAAACAACCACACCAAATGCCCACCAAAAACACTGCACCCACCAACTAAACCCCACACTCAACACCTCGCCATAAACCAATAACCTTGGGCACTAGAGCATGCCCTGAAGAGCCATGTCTACACGTTTCTTAAATACCTCCAGGGATGGTGACTCCACCACCTCCCTGGGCAGGCTGTTCCAGTGCCTGACCACCCCCTCAGTAAAGTCATTCTTTCTAATATCTAATCTAAATCTCCCTTGCCGCAACTTCAGACCATTTCCTCTGGTCTTGTCGTTCGTCCTTTGGGAGAAGAGGCCAACACCTGCCTCTCTACAACCTCCTTTCAGGTAGTTGTAGAGGGCAATGAGGTCTCCCCTCAGCCTCCTCTTCTCCAAACTAAACATGCCCAGTTCCCTCAGCCTCTCCTCATAGGACTTGTTCTCCAGACCCCTCACCAGCTTGGTGGCTCTCCTCTGGACACGCTCCAGCACTTCAATGTCTTTCCTGTAGTGAGGGGCCCAGAACTGAACACAGTACTCGAGGTGAGGCCTCACCAGTGCTGAGTACAGCACGCTTCTTTTTGAGATGTGAGTTAATTGCCACGGGCTCAGCAAAAAATCGTGGGGTAATCAAGGCATGTGACAATCTGTGAGACACAAATGATTCAGTGAGAGCGCTGTTGATCTGATGGACTTCTCTCTAACGCCAAGTCCCTGCCATGCAGGCTGGTTCCCATACGTGAGTCGGGCTGGAAGAACTTCGACGTGACGCAGGCCGTGCAGTCCTGGCTGCGAAACAAGAGGCGGGAGCCAATGTTCCTGGAGGTCTGGATCGAAGGAGAACGGGTGGGCAGCCAGGCCGCCGAAATGGCCAAAGCCGTGCGCTTCACCTCGCAGGACCCCAGGGATAAAGCCCTGGGCAAACCTGAGCTGGTGCTCTACACCCTCGACTTGGAAGACTATGGGTACGTATGGAACCTAAATCTGTACTGTCTCTGGTGTGGCTTTGCCCCTGAATTATCGTGCCAGCCCGGGGTGCACAGCTCTTGCCCTCACAAGATCGTATGAGGAGCGGCTGAGGGAGTTGGGACTGTTTAGTATGAGGAAGAGGAGGCTTAGGGGAGACATCATCACTCTCTACAACTTCGTGAAAGGACACTGTAGAGGGGTTGGTGCTGGTCTCTTCTCGCAGGTAATTAGTGACAGAACGAGAGGGAATGGCTTCAAGCTCCAACAGGGTAGGTTTAGATTGAACATTAGGAAAGAATTTTTCACCGAAAGAGTGATAGGGCATTGGAACAGGCTGCCCAGGGAGGTGGTGGAGTCCCCATCCCTGGCTGTGTTTAAGGGCCATTTAGATGCAGTGCTAAGGGACATGGTGTAGGGGAGGACCTTGTAGAGTAGGGTAGATGGTTGGACTCGATGATCCCAAGGGTCTCTTCCAACCTAGACGATTCTATGATTCTATGATTCAAGTGAACTGCTGTGAACACAGGACTCAGAAAGTTGCCTCCGAATCCCACCTCTCCTCTTCCCATATTTCTTTGCCTGATTATTCAGATGAAACCCCAGCATGGTCCAAGTTTCCCATCTTGGGGCCTACCCGTGCTATCCTGGGGCAGGGGGGGGATTATTTCTCCCACCTTCCTGGTTTCCACTGACGGCATCGGTTCTTGACTCTCCCTTGGTGTGCAGGGGCCCTGGAGACTGCAGAGAGGAGGTGGTGATGGGGAAGTCCACCTGCTGCCGGCAGAAACACTACGTCAACTTCCGCGAGCTCTCCTGGACGCAGCACTGGATCATCGAGCCGGCGGGATACCAGGCTTACCGGTGTTGGGGGGGCTGCCTACAGCCCCCCAGCCCCCTGCGGCGCTTGGGCTACGGGCAGCGGACCTGTGCCGTGACCCAGAGCTCCCCCCTCCCCATCATGTACCTGGTCAAGAGGGGCAACCGCACCGAGATCGAAGTGGCCGAGTTTCCCAACATGATCGTGGAGAAGTGCAGCTGCATCACGGAGGGCATGGCACTGGCCTGAGATGCGGGTGGCCAGCCCATGGCTCTCAATGGGGAGAGTGGGAGGTCATCCCGGTCCCCAACCTTGGGGACAGCCATAAAGATCTCCAGGTACCCACCTCCAAGGGTCAGCAGGAGCTGGGGCTGCAGAAAGGGTGCACTTAAAGGCACTGTCCATATAGATGGGCTCAGAGGAGCATTCATCCTCATGAATACCTACATGAGGGGTACCTATGGAGCCCAACGTCCCTCAAGGCCCCCTTGATGCCAGCCACATTTCGTTGAATTTGATGGAGCTGGGCCCGATTTATTTCAATACTCTTCACCCCCAGGAGTACTGCAGGCAAAGGAGGAGTCATCGTCACCAGGTGAAGAAGTAACATCTGGCTTCAGCTTTTCGTTCTTAGATTGACAGCCTTTCCTAAGTTTTGGTCCTTGTCTGTCCAAGTCACGTTCGTGGTGAATTGTAGAGCAGAAGCACTTACATGTATATATTGTATACACACACACACACGTGTACATATATATAGTATATGAATACATGTATGTATTGTCTACATACATATTGGATATATACATACTGTCTACATACATACGTGTACATAAAATATTGTCTAGAGCTCAAAGGAACATATATATGTGTGTATGTATCGTATACATATATACACATACATAAAATATTACCTGGAACTCAAAGGATTATGTTTTTGGCCCCTGCACTGTGGGCTTAGCACAGTTTTAGGCAGAATTTAGAGTCCTGAAGTCAATGGGAATATTAGGATTTAGGTTTGCTCACACGAGTAAAAGCTTGTAGAATCAGGCCCTTATTTTTCTGGTTATGTATCACAGTTATTTCAATTTAGGGATACCTCCCAAGTTTTGTGTGCTTTCAAACTCAAGGAAACAATAAAATACAACTATTAAAGTAGCCATGTGTTTGCTTATACTTATTTTTAGGTCTAAAAGTGGCCCTGGATTAGCCCACTGCCGGTAGGAGGATTCCAAAATGAGTTTGTCTGGGTAGACAGGGTGGCCGTGGGCCATGGACTGGGTGAAAAGGGAACCATCGGACTCTGCGGTGGCTTTGGGGTCATGCTTCAGGAAGGCTGAGATGTCAAGTGTCCCCTGCAGGCCTGAGGTCACCTAGGCATCTCTGTCATTGCCTTGGCCAGTGATTAGGTGGCCACTTTTCACTCATGTAAATGCCTGTAGTGAATGAAAAGCTTCAAGGGGAGGGAAAAAAGGCAGAAGCACAGACTCACCAGTGCTGGGCTACGGCACCAGGGGTTACTAGAATAAGAATTGGGCGAGCTGGGCTGATCTCCAGCCGTTTCCTTCTCATGACTATGTAGCATCTGTCTTAATGGCATTGGCGTTCAGCCCCAGGTCCTCCCCACCCTGGTTTAGGGCAGGGCATAGCCTGAAGGCCATGAGCTCAGTGATCACCATGGGGAACAAAGCAGGGGATTTATCCACACAGGCTCCTGGGGAGGAAAGTGTTTGAACTGGTTCCTGCCTGAGAACGAAGAGCATTAACCCTGGCTTCCCTCCAGCCTCCAGCACCTGCACTCCAGACATTGTCATCCCCAAAGCCTGGGAGAAACCCCAGTCAGGGCCAGGCTGCTGCAGGAAGCGGGGAGCAGAGGATCGCAGCAGGGATGCAGGCCTGGGACCAGCAGGGTGGACAAGGGGCTGGACCCTCTTCTGCTCTCCTCTGCCAGGGTCCTGCACTGTGTCCGGCCCCTCCTTGCTTTTCCTCTGGCTCCTTTTGCTCCGGTGTCCTGGGGACACAAGGTATGTAACTGGAAGCAGTGGGTCTGTGTGGGGAGAGGGGGACGTGGTGGCTGAGGAGACCCCATGTTATTGTGGGGACAACTGTGGGTATTGCAGTGCAAGGACAGGGCACAAACCTGTGAGCTACCAAGCCCTGCCATGGATACTTATGTAGAGAATGATAGAATCATGAAATGGTTTGGGTTGGAAGGGACCTTAAAGATCATCCAGTTCCAACCCCCTGCCATGGGCAGGGACACCTCCCACCAGACCAGGTTGCTCCAAGCCCCATCCAGCCTGGCCTTGAACCCCTCCAGGGATGGGGCAGCCACAGCTTCTCTGGGCAACCTGTTCCAGTGTCTCACCACCCTCACAGCAAAGAATTTCTACCTAATAATCTCATCTAAATCTCCCTTCTTTCAGTTTAAAACCATTCCCCCTCATCTTATCGCTCCCTTCCCTGATCAAGAGTCCCTCCCCATCTCTCCTGTAGCCCCTTTAGGGACTGGAAGAGGCTCTAAAGTCTCCCAAGACCCTTCTCTTCTCCAGGTTGAACAATCCCAACTCTCTCAGCCTGCCCACACAGCAGAGGGCTCCAGCCCTCTGAGCATCTTTGTGGCCTCCTCTGGGTTTGCTCCAATATCAATCTTATATTTTCACAGTTTAAAAAATGTGGGTTTTGGTTTTGGGTGGGTTTTTTTGTTGTTGTTGTTGGTTTGGTTTTTTGTTTTTTTTTGTTTTTTTTTTAATACAGAGTATTTGAATGCTTATTGTAAATTTCAACCTGCATTTGGATTGAAACTCCCCACTTCTGGGAGGGACAGGGCACTGCTCCTCTAACTCCAGCTGGCTTTGCAGTGGAAAAATGGAAAAAGCAGCATGCTCAGAGGTTGGGCTGATAAAGGGAAGGCTCCAGGGGTTTCTATGGCGTGGATTTCTAAACTGCTGGGCAGAAGGCCATGGATGAAATCCTGCTGCACCCGGCCAACACCAGCATTAAAACATGGGGCATCCTCCTGCACTGCTGAAAGGGCCGAGCACCCGCCTGGTGCTCAAGGAGAAGGAGGCACGTGCTGCTCACATCAAGGGTTTCAACAGCCCTCTCAGTCCCAACACTTGAAGATAAGCTCTTTGTGTCAGCATTGGCAGCAGCAGTGTGTCTGAGATGAAGCTTATTGCCAGCGTGGGCTCTGACCTGCACTCCCAAGGCCATCTGTGAGGTCCTGCAGCACTTCATGGAGCTGGATTTGGGGAAAACTGTTGGTGTCACCAAAGCTTTCCTCACGTGAGAGGCTTGGGCAGGACAGCAGCATTTTCTCTCTCTGTTGTCATTACCTTTTAGGAGAGAGAACAAAAGTTTTAAGCGACATTAAGTACCACTGCTGGCTGAGTTACACCGCCCCATCTGATCCTTCCACGGCTTCATTTGAACTGAGGCTGCTCTCCTGGTCTTCTTTCAAAATCTATGAGAAGCTGCAGCTTTTCCCCACTGGCCAGACCTTATTTCCTCTCCCCCTCTCTCCCCCTCCCTGGCCTTTGCATTTCACAAACTCCTACCAAGAGCGTCTGACACTTTGCCTTTCAGGGCAGCCTTCTAATTGCCGCCAAAGTCAGATCCCCAATCCACATCCCATCAAAGGTGATAATCAGGGGAGCTCCTGGCCTCTGGCTGGGAACAGCTGGAGTCTGGGAAAGGGGAACCCGGGGCAAACAGGACGGGGGAGGCAGAGATCCCGCAGGACTTTGATACCTTTAGAGGAGCCTCTTAACAGTCTCAACTAGTTTTTGCCGTTAGTTTAATGTGAAACTAGCTCCTGGGCAAAGTCCTGGGTTTGCAGCCAGGACCTGAACTCCTGTCACTCCCGGAGCAGGAAAGCAGCCTGCACGATCTCAGTGTGTTTCAGGATAAAACAGAATAAAAAGCTGTTCACAACTGCTGCCTCCCAGCCTCTGCTCCAGGTGTATGAGGGCACTCCAGAGTTGCTGGGGTTTCCTACAGCTAATCCATCAGAATGGGCAAGAAACTGTTTTTTATCTGGAGATACTGAGCTATGCAAAATCCATCCATAGCTCTCAGTATCCTTTCTGACAATTACTGACTCAGGGCTTTCTTTTTTTTTTTAAAGCTACTTAGTAATTTTGTTTTCAATGTACTCTGAACGTTTTTATGTTTTTCTGTTTACGTTTCTCCTTCTTTCAATTTTCTCAGTGATGATAAATCTGCCCCTTTGAAAGTTCAAGTACCTGTATCCCCTTTAGAAGTTTGTTTTGTGTTTGCTGAAAATGAACACGACCAGTTTGCAATCACTGCGTCTCAGACAGCTGCCAACTTCCAGCCCAGTGGTCAGTGACCCTGTCACCCTTAGGAGGTCTCAGCTGGTCACTGTATGCTGAGTATAGAATCATAGAATGGTTTGGGTTGGAAGGGACCTTAAAGATCATCCAGTTCCAACACCCCTGCCCTGGGCAGGGACACCTCCCACCAGACCAGGTTGCTCCAAGCCCCATCCAGCCTGGCCTTGAACCCCTCCAGGGATGGGGCAGCTACAGCTTCTCTGGGCAACCTCTTCCAGTGCCTCGCCACTCTCACAGCAAAGAATTTCTTCCTAATATTTAATCTAAATCTCCCTTCTTTCAGTTAAAAACCTTCCCGAGAATAGGCATCGCTACAAATAAACTTCTAAAATGTATGCGTTCTCCAGAAAGCAAAATTTTGGGTAAGATTGAGCTTCAGCTAGATCAAAGTGATGGATTTTGGCAGTCTCTGGACAAGGCAGGATGATGCAAACCTGACCCGATATCCCCACTCCGCAGCGGCACCGGGTGTTGTGTTGGAAGGGCTGAGGGTTTCTCCGCCGTCAGCTCAGTGCCACCTACAGTAGCAAGCGCAGAAGGAAGCCAAGGGAAAGAATTCCTGCACGCCCACCAGCAAAAAAGCACAGGTGAGGTCAAAACACCAGCTTTTTAGTAACTCACTCGTTTGTCCACGTTGCAGAGGACGGTGAAGGTGTGGAAAATGGGAAAGAAGCCTCTTGGCTGAAGGGCCTGTCTGCTGGTGATGAGCTTTCTAAGCTTCCCCAAGTCATTTCTCTGCAGCTTCAATTCAGAAAACACGTAATAATTTCTAATCTGACATTCTAATCTGTCTAATCTGATAAAGTGCTCACAAATACAAACTCTTCAGTACTTCATTAGTAGAAATCCAAATCACCGTTAAGCCCAGCCAGGTGGGGCTTTGTGATATTTAATTTCTCTGAAGTTTTTTTTCTTCTGGGCTGGGAGGAAAATATCAATTTTCACTTAACAGCAGCAAGTTTCTGGTCCTTTGTGTCACAGAAAGAAGCCAGAAAAGAAGTAATTATTCAGGTTTAGCTATGAATGCTCCTGTTTGGCAATGCTGAATGGTCCAGAGTATTACTTTTTGGCAGTGAAAAATCAGTAGACTTACTAGAAGGAAATGTCATACCCCAATTCTGAACTCACCAGCCAGAAACAATTTTTTACCAAATTTGATTATATTTTACTTGAGTAATGACCTGCCCTGTTCCCTGCTATTTTTTGTGTATTATATGTGCTTATATTTCTTTCCAGGGTATATATACATTATATACATTTATTTCCAAAGCCTTCCCTCAGGTTTGTGCCAGCGCTTTCACTAATTAACTTTTTTTTTCCCCTCAGAAACTCTGACATGCAAGAGAAACACGAGGCAGCACTCTAGATCTTCTCGATGTTTGAAATAAATGCACTTAAGAAGTACACTTCAGAAGAATTCTCGCACCACTTGCTTGTTGTTTTCTGAACACTGTGTGAAAGAGACGCATGAAGCTCATTTTGTGAATAGAAGTAAAGAAGCTAGAGATAAGCAGCTCAAAAGATACCAAGGACTTCTATTTAACCACAACAAATATGCTTGCAAATAGGTAAATAGCCTCAAATGAGATAGGACAATGGGTAATGGTTTTAAACTGGAAGAGGGGAGATTTGGATGAGATTATTAGGTAGAAATTCTTTCCTGTGAGGGTGGTGAGGCACTGGAACAGGTTGCCCAGGGAAGCTGTGGCTGCCCCATCCCTGGAGGGGTTCAAGGCCAGGCTGGATGGGGCTTGGAGCAACCTGGTCTGGTGCGAGGTGTCCCTGCCCAGGGCAGGGGGGTTGGAACTGGATGATCTTTAAGGTACTTTCCAACCCAAACCATTCTATGACTCTATAAATCCACCTTATGGGTAGAAAAAACATAGCATGTGTAGTGTTTTTGACTTGCCTGGACATCAGCTGCTCCATCAGAAATCACTTCTGCCCTTCCCAGTTCTGCCCCTGGGCAGGGGCCAAACCCTGTCTCCTACAAACCAGGATCAGTGCAGAACAACAGGAGAGCTGCCTCCTGGGGAGGAAAGGATAAACTCATCAGGTTAAACCAGCTGCACCGACAGGACCGACTGAACAGCTTCTCTGTAGAGATTGTCAAGAATAAATCCTTGAGCTTTATCAACCTCTCTCAAATCAAAATTTCCAAGCAAGATTACATACTACACAAGTGAATTGATTTCTGAGCACGTGAAGCCAATTTCTTACCAGTATTGCAATGCAAAACCTTATTTATTTTATGAGCTAAACTTTAAAACACATAATCGGATGGTACAATGTCAGAAGAGACCATTTTTAATTTTTCAAGTATCTCTACAAGAAAATTTGAGAAGCAGATCAACATAATATTCTCCAGCGTGTGGTGGTAAAATTAGAAATCCAAGGTGCTGAACTAAATGCTTTTTTAAAAGCCTCAAACCAGAGAAGTGGCAGTTGCACGGGGGGCCCTTGTCACCTCACAGGGTAACTCCCTGCACTGAGCTCTCACACTGCTCTGGGACAAAGCACCAGCACCACAGGTATTTTAGTCCTTGGGATACAATTCCATTTAAAAAAAAAAAAATTAAAACCCATCCTAAATTTCTCATTGAGCTTCATCTTGCTAACCTTCAGCAGCCAGCAAGTGTACTTAATTCTTTCTTAATCTCTTAATGATGCCATTCTCTCTTTTCCCTCACTTGGCTACTTTTCCAGAGCAAAATAAGTAAATACCCTTATTTAACTTCTTCTAAAAAAAGTATTTACACACATTAATAATTTATATTCTACTGACACCTGACATCCCACAGAAACTCACAGCACAACGTACTGCTTTATACAGACCTCACCCATATTAAAATGTTCTTTTTATTTAAAGGAACTTCAACTTTTAAGCCTGGATCACAGGTTCAATGTTTCTCATTCAACAGCAGTACCTGAGCTGACTGGAATGCACACTAAAGGAAATCCAATGTAAAGCTAAGAAAGGATCACTGTTTTTCTTAAAACAGGTGATGACAGTGTCATACAACCATTTTCCAGAAAACATTCCGTTTTCTCCTTTCCATATACAGAGAGTTTGTTCTACCTGTTGCATTATCTATGTGGCAGTATATAATAAAAACAGGATAAGAAAAATTTAAAAGCTCACGGATACAACTTTTTTTTTTTAATCACTTTTTTTTCCCTTTTGAGGGCTTTGCAAATAAAGCCGGATCGATCTGGTCTCTAGACAGGCCTCTCACTGAAAAAAGCCTCGTTGCTCTTTCCTTTAAAGTGCCTCCACATTTCAGTCCTAAAGACATCAACTCCATCTTCAGTCTGTCTAAACCCAGGGCTTCCAATTCAGCAGCAGAGTTGAACGCCAGCAGGTCTATGGGTTCCACCTCCTGCAAAGAGAAAAACATCCCATCAGACTAGTATTATTATTATTATTATTATTTTCTTCTTGGTTGGGAAGGGAAGGAACAAGTATGGACAGAATGCTTCATGTTACAGAAAATCTTCAATTAGCATCGTCTCAAACTCCTAAGTACTTAATGAAGTTGAGCAATGTCTCAATATGTGTTACGTTGGATATTAGCCAACGTAATTATTATTAGCAGTACTTATGCTACCCAGGAAAAGTATTACTACATCATGTACATGCAAAATTGAAGCTAGCCAGCAGCCTAATTGTAAAACATGCAAATCTTAGCGGAAATAAACACACCCAAAAGCGGGGTAAGTGCTCAGGTGAGCTTTGTACCCAGTGTCCAACTGCACTGCTACAACTGTACTCCTGGCAGTGCCTTTGCCAGCTAATTAAAGGCTCGCTCTGACACGTCCAGACAAGCTGCAGCCTCCGAGACACAAGCACTGGTCATTTTAAATTATATAAACATCCAGGGTCTTGTCCACAGAAGAATATGGACAAAGACCGGATAATTCAAATGCTGGAATTTTACTAACGCACTAAACACTAACACCAAATGTTAACACACTAAAAAGGACACAAAAATCTAAGCCCACTAGGCACATATTAGTTCTATGGCATGTATCATGCTGCAGTTACAAAAGGGATTTCAGAGCAAGTAACACCAGCAGGAAAATGAGGCTGATCCATTATGAACTCAGCAAATATAATTAACGTTAGCAGAATTAGAACCTTTGTCCTGCTAAGCATACAAAAAAAAAAAAAAAAAAAAAAAAACATTTTCCAGAAAACATTCCGTTTTCTCCTTTCCATATACAGAGAGTTTGTTCTACCTGTTGCATTATCTATGTGGCAGTATATAATAAAAACAGGATAAGAAAAATTTAATACAGAGAGTTTGTTCTACCTGTTGCATTAAGACTCTTCAGAACCATTTGTGAAGCTTATAAAAATACAGTTGTTTCACTCCTTTAACATTGGACATATTGAATGCGTAACTAACTCGCTATTTAGCGACTCACTCTGGTTACATTAATGGAATTTCATCAAGAATAGGAACAAAAACTATCCACGGATGCTGAAGAACTCTATGTGGCAGTATATAATAAAAACAGGATAAGAAAAATTTAAAAGCTCACGGATACAACTTTTTTTTTTTAATCACTTTTTTTTCCCTTTTGAGGGCTTTGCAAATAAAGCCGGATCGATCTGGTCTCTAGACAGGCCTCTCACTGAAAAAAGCCTCGTTGCTCTTTCCTTTAAAGTGCCTCCACATTTCAGTCCTAAAGACATCAACTCCATCTTCAGTCTGTCTAAACCCAGGGCTTCCAATTCAGCAGCAGAGTTGAACGCCAGCAGGTCTATGGGTTCCACCTCCTGCAAAGAGAAAAACATCCCATCAGACTAGTATTATTATTATTATTATTATTTTCTTCTTGGTTGGGAAGGGAAGGAACAAGTATGGACAGAATGCTTCATGTTACAGAAAATCTTCAATTAGCATCGTCTCAAACTCCTAAGTACTTAATGAAGTTGAGCAATGTCTCAATATGTGTTACGTTGGATATTAGCCAACGTAATTATTATTAGCAGTACTTATGCTACCCAGGAAAAGTATTACTACATCATGTACATGCAAAATTGAAGCTAGCCAGCAGCCTAATTGTAAAACATGCAAATCTTAGCGGAAATAAACACACCCAAAAGCGGGGTAAGTGCTCAGGTGAGCTTTGTACCCAGTGTCCAACTGCACTGCTACAACTGTACTCCTGGCAGTGCCTTTGCCAGCTAATTAAAGGCTCGCTCTGACACGTCCAGACAAGCTGCAGCCTCCGAGACACAAGCACTGGTCATTTTAAATTATATAAACATCCAGGGTCTTGTCCACAGAAGAATATGGACAAAGACCGGATAATTCAAATGCTGGAATTTTACTAACGCACTAAACACTAACACCAAATGTTAACACACTAAAAAGGACACAAAAATCTAAGCCCACTAGGCACATATTAGTTCTATGGCATGTATCATGCTGCAGTTACAAAAGGGATTTCAGAGCAAGTAACACCAGCAGGAAAATGAGGCTGATCCATTATGAACTCAGCAAATATAATTAACGTTAGCAGAATTAGAACCTTTGTCCTGCTAAGCATACAAAAAAAAAAAAAAAAAAAAAAAGACCAGTTGCCTCATTATTCTCATCCTACTTTAAAAAAATAAATCCATCAAGGACTATTATAAAATATTTCCACCTGCAATAACAATCTGCCACAGCATTGGTGGAGTTTCCTGTTCTAAGAATAGACAGTCTCAAAAATACTAAGCAAAAGGTAAACAGTGAGGAACGGTAAACATCCTGTTTAAAATTTGCCAGCTCTAATAGTATGGCAGATGACAAAGTTGTAATTTATCATACTACATCCCGGGTCTTTTTGCCATTTAACTGTATTAGACTTCCACTTATCAGAATTTGGAGATTGGCAGTGGCAACCAATGGTATACTTCCTGCTTGAGCTGAAACAAGGCAGAAAAGTATACCAAAGCATCAATTTTAAAATCATTCTTCCACCATCCTTCGCTGTTCAGACAAAGCCCATCATTTATACCAATTCTGTCTCTTCAGTGAAGGAGTCACCGCTTTCAGATTTTTGACAGTCAATGACAAACTGAAGTTTGCACCAGGCTATGAGGGTTCTCTATGAACTAGACTCAAGCCTTTTTATAATAAAAACTAAGAAAGACTCATCAGCTGATTGGTTTAGGGGGTGTCTACTTGGAACAACTTCCAATTTAAACATTGAGGTCAATTATAAACATTAAGGTCAAATTATGTTATAAATAACCTTAGTCAAATTCGTGTTAGGTAATGTCTCAAAAAGTATGTATAAGAGTCTTTCACCTTACGGAAGGGTTTTATTTTACTTCCTTCCCCCCCCAGTAAATAATTTTGGATCCAGAGTGTATCTAATTATGTAGAAGGAGAAAAAAAAAACCCCAACAAAAAAAACCCTCAAGGGAATCATGGATCTCAGGAGAGACAATACAGCCAGCCAAGGGCAACCACATCTTAGGAGAAACTCTAGACTATTAAAATCTTAATCTTATAAAGTTCTTCCTTGACCCAATTTACCTGGCATCTCTCAAGACAATGCCATCATACTACAATTCAACTTTGTCCACAGACACTGTCAACCTTTGGCTGCAGTTTCCATTAACTTGCTACATCCCATTTATCATCAAGTCTCACAATGCATCTTCAGTTAAGCCAGTTTTCCTTTTTAACCTTGGGATTTTCTGTGCTCTGAATCCAACTCTGAAGACTCTTCAGACAAACTTAGGGAAACTACAATTCCAGTTCAAGCACTTACATCTACTGCACTGAAGTCACAGGATACAAACCCCCTCCCCTCTTCTGTGGTCCACAAAGGGAAAAGTGATTGAGTAAAAGCTGCTGAAGACAAATCTCACTTTTTACCGCTTCATACTTACTGTGCTCTGCAACTGGTTTGTTTCCTGAGCCTTAGAAGAAATGTTTTCTTGCTCCTCTTCTTTCAGAGCTGCGGTCACCTCACTCTTTTCTTGGACCTCATTCTTCTCTTGGACCTCCTCCTTCAAGGGCTTTGTCATTTTATTCTTTTCATCAGCTGGAGTTTTAGGTTGCCCACCTGCCTGTGTCTCTCCTCGCAGGTCTCTCCCAGTACCTTCTGGCTGCTCCAGTGGTTTCTCAGTTGTGCTGGTAGATGGAGCATCCTCTCCCGAATCCACAGAGCTGCTTGAACATTCATTTGAGTTTCCAGCATTTTCATTGTATCTGCTGCCTGATGGACAACTTCCATCAGATGCATGAGGGGAGTCATCTTCACTGTCATCACTGCAATCTGAGCTGTCACTATCATCCAGTCCTTCCATTCCCAACCTGGCACAAACGGTATGTTACTAATTAATATTTATCTAATTTTACTTTTTTTTTAACATTATTTTTATTATTACTTTTCTCTTTCCAAAACTCACTTCAGAAACCTGCAGTGATCTATTTTAGCAGCTATTTAGGATAATTTAGTAAATGGAGAAGCTGCTCCCCCGCCCCTTTTAAATTCATTGGAAATTTAATTCATTAATGAAAAAAAAATAGACAATGGGAGGTAGCAGAATACAACCATATCAGAAGGGGCAGGGAAGGGTGCATATTTTTGAAAAAGTTTGTCTGCTCCAGCTGGGACAGAATTATATGAATACAGCAACATTTACTTTCAGTTATCCAATTTAATCAGTTTGATTTACTTATTCCTATTTAATTCTACGTCTCCAATAAGATGTTGCTTACTTGAACATACCCAACCCATCATCCTGTTCAAGACTTGAGTATAAAACAAGCATAATGCTTACCAAAAACATTTTCTTTTGCGAGGTTTTGTTCCATTCTGTCCAGGTTCACCTGGACGCTTCCGACTCTCGCCACTTTCTGGTGACACTACTCTGCTTGAAGAAGCCTGCAATCCTTCAAAAGAAAGTTAAAAGTCTACTTCATCAATACATAATCTATGTACTTTGTAAATGCTACTTATCTTTTAATTTCAGATACAATTTTAAAAGCTCATTGAAAATAACAAATAACCCCTATAGGTGCACACTTATATTGACTCAAAGCTCTAAAATAAACTCAGTAGCAGCAGCAGTTTTTCTACACAGTTTTACTATGGCACAGAGTCAATTTAAATTGGATTCCTGAACTGAACTCTCAGGTTCTACATCCCATTCAGCCTCAGGTTTCACTATCCAGCTGCCAGCAAGGGAGCAACCCGTGGATAAAATAACTACAAAGAACTGGAAGTGAAGCAGGGTATTTTGTAGCTGATATTCAATTCCTAGTTTTTACTTAAGACCTGTTTCTATTTTATCATTTCACTGAAAATGACAATGTAATTCTTACAGCTGAACTAGCAACGCTTCCTTCACAGAATTTTCCTTTTATTATGAGATGGCACCGTAGCACAGCAAGATGAGACCTCACTTAAACTGCTGGTCAATGCAATTGAAGAGAAGCAGCAGCCAAACAGGAAAAATTAAGTCCACCAAATTTTACTGGAATTTAAAATTTCATTCAAGAGTTACTGTCAGCATTTTTTTTTTTTTTTTTTTTTAATTTTCATACTGGAGTGAGACTATAGGGACTTTAGGCTTGCTTTATTTCTTCAGGAGAGAAAGCAAGGTAAAACTGCAATACCTTTAAGGACTGAATCTTCCAGTCGCTCAGCCATTTCGTGACACTGCTGCTGGTAGTCGGGATTGGTGAAAAAGTGCTTTGGCTCCGCGAGTTTCCGCTGCAGCCTTTCCAAGCGCCTTTGCTCTTTTTCTGCTTCCCGTTCTGCTTGCTGCTTTACCCACTCCGCCATCCTGCAGATGAAAATGAGAGCATTTCCAGCATTTAAGGTCATATTGGTTTGTTGCTTTGCAATTACTGTATGTTTCTACCACCTGCTTGGACGGCAGACAATGGGAAAAGACAACTAAAAACACTCGGGGGAATTAACTGAAGGAATACGCAGAGATTCTACAACAAAGAAGAGAGTGAAGTTTACTTTAAAAGCCAGAAACAGTGGTAAGGTCTATATCTCCAACATCATGGTCTTGCAGCTTCAGAGAAAAGCACTCTGAGAATTCCAGATGAGAAAATCTAAGAGGTGCAGAAAAGTCTCTCAAAGCAGGCTGCAGTGCAATCACATCTATTCTGCAGTAATATAATTATAGTCAGAAGAATCCTGCTGGCTTCCAGTATACCTGTGCTTAAGATTCCACTTGGGCTCTTTTTAGTGTTCAAAAGAAAATTTCATTGCTACAACAGCCTGTCATTTGATCTTTTTTGTTACCAGTGAACTACACGGTCATTTTATTTTATAATTTTAGCTGCTAAGAAAATGCCTTACGCTTTTTCGTGATTGACATCTCGAAGTCTCCTCCCGCTGAGATCTCGGCAAGCCTCTCTATTTGTTGTCTTCTCAATCTGAGCACCAAGTGCTCGCAGCATAGACCCAAACCCTGAGAAAAAAAGAGCAATCAAGGATCAGCTAAACAGAAACAAATGGAGGTGAACTAGTACACAACAAAACAATTAATTATCGAAAAAAACTACAGTGAATTCAACACTTTCATCTCATTTTCGTACTCCTGGTATCACATCAGATGGATTGAAGATCTCCTAGAACCTGTGCAGCATTTGAAACATGAAAGCCTATTATTTCTAGACTTCCCCACCAAAATGGTTTGAAACCTTTTTTGTTTCGAGACAACTTTTCGGGTCCTTTCTAATTTAGCTGGGATACACCTCCCCCCTAACCCCCAATCATCTTAAATCCTCTTTTAAAAATCTAACAAAAAATAATACCTTTTTCAGGAGACAGCTTTAGCTGCTTCATCAATATGATCATGACGTACAATGTTATGCTGGGAAACCCCCCCCCCAACTCAATTTTTAATTACTCATAGTCAAACTGCCAATTTCTCTCATTCAGTCCCACCTTATGTTGTCTCCAGCTGGAGACAGACACTTGCTCAACTATCTCAAAGAAACACAATGTGAATTAATATTAATATAATCCTTCAAGCAATTTGAAAGCGCCAAGCACTGTGTTTTTAACTATAAGTTGAACAAAGCTATATTTTTCAGTGCCCCAAAAGTACCTTTAAGGAGTGTTTCAAACAGTAACCAATCCTGTCAGCCTACTGTATCAAGAGAGCAAAAAAGTGTTGTGTTCAGCTAATAAAACCAATTGCTGCCATTGGTGAGGAGAACTGCTGTAGCTCATGAAACATGCTATTGAATTTTACCTTCCAAAAAATGAAGACCTAGCTGCTACACCTAGCCAGAAACTCTCCCAAAAATCAACAGTAATGCTTTCACTAAGGTGCTGAATTAGGTCTGATAATAAATGCTCAGTTCTCTTTTAATCCTGCATGATCTGTATCCCCTTGAGATCATGCAGTAAGCCTCGACAGTTCTGACCTGTGTTTGTTTGTCTATAACTTAAAAGCCTGCTAGAAATAAAGTCAAAACAAAAGGAATGCTTTGAGAGCAGACAAAATTGTTAAAAGAACAATTTTAAACTGACTCCGATGGCACGTCAGTAACACGAAGTGAATGACAGAACGCATATCCTGCATGCCATCCCAAGATAACTGAAGCCGATGGACAATAGGTAAAGGAGAACTACCCCATGCTATGAACTTACACCACATGCACCACTTCTAGGGCACTTAAAGAAACCACAATACCTCATAAGCTATTTATTTAGCTTAGTTTTAGATAGAATTGCTATCTAAAAGATGAAGGTGGCAAAGTAAGCTGAGCTGCTGTCCAATGCAAGGCTGCACAATTATTCAGCATTTTAGCTTAACAGCTGGAAAATTCTGAGAACTGGATTTGAAAAGCAAATATACTGACTCCACTCTCACTCAACTACTCTATTAAATTAGCTTCACCCATCGTGTTACATTTTAGGGAATGTCCACATTGCCAGTGCCTGCATTTTTTTTATGATTAATATACATCTTCCGCAAACAGTTAAAATATTTTGTCAACATGAAGAGCCTAGTTTAGATTGAATTCTTTAATACTTAGGCTAGTGAGACGTTGGCATCTATATGTACTTTCCAATCAAATAACAGTCTATTTGTACCTAGAATATTAGTCCTAAGTGACCATGAATGAAATTTAGGAGGCTACGAAGCCAGGTGCTTTTAAACACCATTTCAACTCTGAAGTCACTCTGATGCACGTTACAGATTGCTACAAGCAGAGAGAAGCTGACCAGGGGTGTGAAGAAGAGCTACACCAGCAAAGCTGTCAGCTTCCCTGCTCAATTCTCAGCTCTTCAGACAGACTTTGGTTACAGCTCACAGACATTATATCACATTCATCCACGTTATAAGAGACGTGGCAACAGATTAGGACTGCTGCTGTCAGTATAGACTACAGTATAATACAATGTTTTTTTAACCTAAAAATCTAATCAACAGCAAGCAGTTAAGCAACCAACCTCCTTTTCCACCACAAAGTCGTGGTTCCAGACTATAAACGGCGCCATTCTGCAGTATGTCCTCATCATTAACCAGTCGTCCATTACATTTCACATACAAGCTTTCCTCAGGAATATTCTAAAAAACAACAAAATTGAGTTACATGACCAATTGAAAATAAAACATTCTGACAAAGTAAACCATTATGGAATAATGTTTCCTCCCTCGTTTCCTTTAAGAACATAGGGGAGGCAAAAATCAGACAATCTTAAAAGCATAAACGCTCTCTATGGTGCTTGTTTTAATTCCTGCAAACTAAAGGATTAAACACAGTCTAAATGAGCTTGGAAACAGGAATGGGGAAAAGCCATGCTATCTGAAAATTTACAATAAGCATTCAAACACTCTGTATTAAAAAAAACAACCCCAAAGCCCACATTTTTTGAATAGTAAAGAATGTAAGATTCATATTGGAGCAAATCCATAGTGGGGCCATGAGGATGCTCAAGGGCTGGAGCACCTCTCCTATGAGCACAGGCTGAAAGAGTTGGGGCTGTTCAGCCTGCAGAAGAGAAGGCTCTGGGGAGAATTCAGAGCCCCTTCCTGTCCCTAAAGGGGCTATAGGAGAGATGGGGAGGGACTCTTATCAGGGAGGGGAGCCATAGAACGAGGGGGAACAGTTTTAAACTAAAAGAGGGGAGATTTAGATGAGATCTCAGGAAGAAATTCTTCCCTGTGAGGGTGGTGAGACACTGGAACAGGTTGCCCAGAGAAGCTGTGGCTGCCCCATCCCTGGAGGGGTTCAAGGCCAGGCTGGATTGGGCTTTGAGCAACCTGGTCTGGTGGGAGGTGTCCCTGCCGAGGGCAGGGGGTTGGAAATGGATGATTTTTAACGTCCCTTCCAAACCAAACCGTCCTATGATATCCTCCATGTATATATATAAAATACATCTAAGAGACTATAGGACTCACTTACAGCAAACCCTCCCGCTCAGCTAAGCGGCAGCAACGGGAAGAAGCGTCCCCAAAGTCGCGACGCCCGCCCGTCAGTGGCCCCGCCACCGGAGCAGCGGGGAAGGGGCGAGGGCAGCCGTGAGGCCTGCTCGCCTCCACCGGCAGCCTGGGGCCGCTCACCCACCCGAGGCCTGAGGGTGGGGGGACGCCATTTCCCACCCCCACTCCCCCGCCCTTTCACTCACCAGCTCCCGAGCGCGATGGCGGAGGAGGCCGCGCACCGACCCGCCGCCGGGGGGCAGCGGCAGGAGCCGCGCCCGCGACGCCAACGGGTCCCTCACCAGCAGCGCCATTACCCTCTCCTCACCCCGCCACTGCCGCGCGTGCGCATGTGACGGCGGCGGCGCGTGGTCACATGAGCGGTGACGTCCGTCAGCCGGGCGGGGGCGCATGAGGGAGAGAAGGAGGGGCCGGGCTGGGCGGGAACGGGGCTGAGGCGGCGGCCGTTGGTCCTTCTTCGGGGTCTCCGCCTCTCTCCTCAGGTGGTTTAGACTGGGCTGCTAATTGCTGATTTTCTCTTTTAATTGACGTTTTGAAAGATTTCCTCGTGGCTGGTTTCCTGGTGTTTTGTTTTTGTTTTGTTTTTGTTTTTCATGGAATTGGGTTGGAAGGGACCTCAAAGATCATCCAGTTCCAACCCCCCTGCCATGGGCAGGGACACCTCCCACCAGACCAGGTTGCTCCAAGCCCCATCCAGCCTGGCCTTGAACACCTCCAGGGATGGGGCAGCCACAGCTTCTCGGGGCAACCTGTTCCAGTGCCTCACCACCCTCACAGGAAAGAATTTCTTATGAATACCTGAAACTGGACTGAAGGCAAGCTGTATTTCTCATATTTGGGAGGCAACCTCATGTTTCAGTGCTTTTAGGGACCAGATTTATCATTTTTACACCTGCCACCTATATTTCTTATATTTTAACCTTTGGAGTCAGTCTGACGTTTCACTCCTTTTAGGGACCCAATTTATCATTTTTAGACATGTAAGGTTAAATGAGAGTCCAGGTATTATTTTTTTTAGGTCAGTCTTTGGGAATGAAAACTTTGGAGCGTGACACCCTTGCCTAGGGGGGAATAGATCCGAGGAGGGTATAGATCGGCTATAAAACCCATGCAGGGCCTTACACACAATGTCCTGGTATCTTGTTTCAGGAAACGTTTGTCTGGAATGTGCTGCTCAGAGGAACGTCCCATCTCCCACCGTAAGTGGGGAAGCAGTTTCTGTCCTTTACCTCTTCTACACGAGACAGCCCTGTCATTCTAATTCAGACCGCTGTGTGCAGCCTGCCAGGTTGTAAAGGCTTTTTACAACCTGTCATGTCGACTCTGAGGATGTAGCAGCAGGGCAAAATGGACCATGGCTCCCAACATGCTCATCTTGCTCTGCCTTTTTAGTAGTGGTGGCAGCAGCAGCATGAGAATGGAAATACTCGTACCACCTCAGGCAAACTGGGAATGGGCATTGCTGCCATTGTGAAGGCACTGCGTGTGCAAGAAATGTGATGGGAATGTGCAGCTGTTAATTGTCCAATCCAATATAGTGCAAATTTCATGTAAGGACTGGCAGGAGGATGGGCTTTCATCTCTGTGGCTTTGTCCTGCTTAGCAGGACATTTTTTATTTTAGCATATAGATGGGGAGAGGCCCCAAACTCTTGATATTTGGAGCAGATTCGTTTACACAGTCACATAAATTTTTTTAAAATCAGGGTGAAGGTTGAGCTGGAGCAGGAGGCCACACTCAGCTCTTCATGAACATGCAGTAACTACCCATAAGCCGGAGCCTGAAGGAGTGGTAGGAGAAGATGCACAACCCTGCCTCTCCAGGAAAGGATGTGTACAGAGGTATGACGGTGTTCCAGGCAGTGTAACTATTGCATTCTTTGGTGGCTTCAGATCTCCTCCGTGTCTTCAATGTAACCATCCATCTAGAAGACATTTGAAGGTAGGTTGCTACCAGCTGTCTCTGGTGGGGAGCTGTTGCAAACACCAGCAAAGACGTGGTTTGGCTGCCTGGAGATCTGCAGTGCAATACACCTGGAACCTTATTTCCAAATAATGATGTTACCTGCAGTGTCCTTTTGGTTTTGGCTGTTGTTTTTTTTTGTTGTCTTTTTCTGTTACTGTTTTTTATTAATTATTTGTCATTAATTATGTGTCATGTTCCCACAGGGCAACCATTTAAAGTCTGTGTAGCCTGGAAAAGTTGTGGTTATTTTGTGCTGGATCAGGCCCAAATTCAGTCGACTTTGTATTTTAAGTCACGTGGTACTGCTTGTTTCACTGAAAATCACGTGCCATATCTGTGGAATGCCACCTAATGTTAAATTCAACTAGATTTGGGACATTTGTACTCCTGTGCAGTATCCGATTGAAATCTAATTGGCAATGTATGAGGTATGCACGTATACATATGCAGATGAATAAGTATTTTCTTAGATCTGTGGGCTTTCGGTTGCATTCCAAGGGCATGATTCATTTCCTCCTCTGAAACTCTGGGCTATTGGCGCGGAGGGTGTGGAGCTTGCCAGGACAGGCCAAATAGGCGGAGTTATCCAGGAAAGAGTTGGGCCACAGGACTGGCCAGTGGATGTGCTGAATCAGTGTAAATCACAGGTGGTTTGAGCCACATCTTTTCTGAATGTTTCCAACTCCTCTCCTATCTGTGCTGATGAATTCCTGACCCCAGTGAGCACCGGCTGAGTTATATTTCCCCAGTGAGGAGTTTATTTGCTAGCACAGCTGCCATTAGAGGGAAAAGAGGACAGGAAAAGAGGGCCTGCTGCACCCCAAGAGGAGGTGTGCGTCAATGACAGCTGTCATTCATACCTCTGACACCTGGATTCTGAATGCAGATAGGTGCTAGAGCTGTGATACCCCTGTGAGCGTGAGAGCTGACAGCAGTGGAGTCACATCGATGTAAATCAGGCCCTTTGGAGACTGTACGTTGCCACTTTATGGCTAGTTTTGGGCTCTCTCTGGTTCTGGGTGGCTGTGTCTGGGGTGGCTGTACCCAGGTGACGTGCCGAGATCCTTGTGCATAGTCAGACTGCAAGCAAATGACATCTAATAGGCAGGGGAGGAGTCTTCTTACAGCTTGGTCCTATAGCAGCGCTAGGTATATAGTCCCCGCTCTCATGATTTATGCAATGCCGTTTAGCTGGTGCCACATTCATCTCAGTGGGCGAGTGTTCCTGTATCTCTTGTTCTTGATTACACTTCTATTCCTGGCGCTCATCAAAAGTCTTATTGCCTCGCTCCTCACAAAGTAAAGTCTAAATAAGTCAAAAAGGCTGCTATTATAATTTCCCATTTGAAATGTGTTTTATTAGAAATGTTATTCTCTTGGTAAAACAATGATCGGTCTCTGATTCTGCAGTGGTGTTTTAGACTTAATTAATAAATCATGCTTGCCACTCTTCATTTAGGAAGGATTTTGCAGACATAATTAATTAAACCTGACAGTATCCTTGTGGGATAAGTAAGTAGTTTGACTTTTTAAATAGTGACACTCAGACAAACTGGTTATACTACTTTCTCAAGTCAGTGGAAGGACCAAGACTGGAATTTAAAACTTCCTGCTATCTTGACGTAATTTAAGAGATGAGACTACCCGTCCTTTTTTTATTTCATTCTGATATCCGTGCCTGTGATGCCTGAGTTACTGGGTGTAGTTCTGTGGCCTATAGTATGCGGTGTCATAGACTAGACTATTTTCTCCTTAAAATCTGTTACTTGATTTAACACAGAACACAGTTTTTCCACTATATCTGGAATCATCATACCATCGTCGGATGTGGAGCTGTCATAATGCTGCTATTAGTCCATTAATTCATTCACCCTTATTGTTTCCTCCAGTATATTCCATTTTAATAGTAGCAGCAGTGCTTTATAGTGTTTAATAACGGTCTGTCAACGCCAAGATGACATTATACAAGACTGTTTACTGAGAGGTGTGAGGTGCTCAGTGGCCCTTCTAGTCTGCACATGGAAGATGCCTGTGGGACTGAAGAACACAAAACCAGTTGTTCACAAGGTACCCAGATGTAAAAAGGATGGATCAAAAGTTGCTCTGATAAGAATTCAACATTTCTCACTTCTAGAAGTATTCCTGCACACAGGGGAGAGAAAGGATGAAATACATCGCTTAAAATATAAAACAGACATGTATGTTCCTTTTAGAATATTGTAAGTTCCCAGAGATATTAACAAAGGTGAACTTTGTCCACTGAAGGTCACTTCAAGCATTTGAAAACATGTCTTCTATGAGTGGGTTTTCTGCCGGGTAGACAGTCAGTCATGTAATCTCATATATATGGAGACTGGCTCATCCGAATATATTTTACTTCACATTTTTATGGTATCCCAGCATGTAAGTTGCAGATAATATATTTGCAAGATTTAAATGTGTTATGCTTTCATATTATTTTTGCACAGAGGGTCAAGATAGGATGAGAAGAAACCTTTATGTGTGTTGTTCTCGGGGCAATAACTAAGATGCTGTATGACACGAGGGAACATTTTTTACTTCAGATACTCTGACAGCATACTGGTTGACAAAAATGCAATTAACTGTGATGAATTTGAGTTGATATTTGCAAGTGCAGCTTCCTGCCAAATGCCAGTAGTCGTCTGCTTCAGTTTCTTTGTCATCAGCACAATGGGTAGAGACAGTGGGTTAAGATACCTGATACTGGGTTGGGAGGGGATGGGGGAGAAATACAAATGTTATATTACTTATATTTCCCTTGTATTAATACAATAGCTACTGTTAAATATACATATTATCTCACAGTGAACACATAGATACCAACCATCCTCACAAGTTTGTGGTGAATAACTGTATTTTATTCTTCTTATAGCCCACAGTTGCTAATAATGCAGATACTTAAGACATAATCAAGATTTAAAAATAGCTGTAAAACTGGTTTTGCCCTCACACTAGTCCCTTTGTTGGGCTTAATATCTTTGTCTCTGTCCTGTGCAAGGGTGTTTAAACTGTGAGTCCTTCCAGGGAAAGAACACGTACTGCTCTGCGCAAGTGTATGAATTGAACCTCAGAAACTAAAGTCCCTTTTTATTTGGCCATAAGTATTGTTAGCACAGTTGGCCTTCTTAGTGTTAATAATGATTTTAAATTTGGCAGCAATAATTTGAACTGAATTGGCTAATTAGACAGCCAGGTAATACTGTAGACGTTAATACTTTAGATTCTAAGATTTCTTTAACCTTGTCTCTCCTTTGATTTTCTGGCCTTAGTGCTCAGATTTGCTCTGTTCTCACTCATTTTAACTGCACACATCTGGAGAACAGCG